GCGTCCATTTTGCTGGGGAAATTTGTAGGGGTTTGGGGAGGGGGGGGTTTCCCCATTGGGGACCTTGGAAAATTGGGGGTTTTGTTCTCGCGAACAATGTTAATCCCAAGACCCCCCCCCCCCCCCCCCCCTCTCGCCCCTGCCCCCAACCCCGTGACCGTTGCCGCGGCGAAACCAACGCGAAGGAGGCGTTTTTGGAAGATGAAATTTGAGCCGCCGGAACGATCTGACTATTATAGATACTTTCCACAGGGACCACCGTTGTTCATGCCGTGACAGTGCTAGATGCTCCGGGTTAGTCAAAATTGGGTGAGAAAATGGGTGTTGCCACGATTTTTCTGGCACGGGTGCGCTAATGCAAAGGTAGTGCGCAACTGTTGGCGACAAATCAGCGATAGTCGGCACCCAATTACGACGATATGAGATCAAAGCAGGCCGTGATTTGTCGACCCTCACTCTACGCATGGTTCAAGCTACATTTGACGACGACATCCGCGCTTCATACTCTGACTTGTGACCATGGCAAGTAGGCTCGACTATCCACGTATGATCAGAATGCGCGTGGGTATATCCGGCAAGGAGTCGGAGCGTATTGATATACAGCCGCAGCAGCATAATATCAACAGCGCAGGTGGGTCGTGCGTTCAGCACATCTCCCAATATGGCCCCTCCCTCTCTTAAAAAACAAAATCAACAGACGGCCAGAGCGCTCGAAGTATCGCAGTCGTTGGCGCGCGTGATCGACAGAGAGCAGAACCTGGTCGATGACGCCCAATCATCCCTCGTTGTGGACCTGGCGAAGATTGTCGCTGACGAGAACGCGAAGAGAGCCGAAGCCGCGGCCGTCGCTCGGCGACACTGGTGGGCCGAAGCCAGGGAGAGCCTCCTGGACTTGTTCCGTTCGGTGCACAGCAGCAATTGGAACGACCAAGAGAGCGGCGGCGGCTGCGCCGACGTTGACGTCGGTATCCATGGTGGTGGTTCTGCCACCGAGAAGCCGGCCGCTACGTCATCGGCATCCCTGCAGCGTATCCGGACTAGCCTGGACGAATTGCTCCGCGCGGAAGAAATTCTAATAGAGAAAGCTGCGACAGACTTCCTCACTGCCGTCAACGCCGATGAATGCGGTGGAGGAGGAGGAGGTCCACTACACGTCGCGGCCGTGGAGAATCAGCGGTACACCAATGAGGTACTAGAGCGATGCACGAAAACTTTCGAAGCCGCTAGCTTTGATCCGCCGACCTCGACAGTCAGGCAACCCACGCCGGTGAATCTAAATCAGTGGTCAACGGAAGGAGGCAGCAGCAGCGGCCACCTTGGTGGGGCACATAATCCCGAAGAAGAACTAGCCTCTTTTCGGGGTAGACTTGAGACGGACGCGGTCCAGCTAGCGGTCGCGTCTTTTGAGGCGGAGGTTAGGCAGTGGGCGATTGATGCTGCAATCCCAGAAACTGCATCAGAGGCGGTGCTGCCGCCGTGTCTTGCGGGAGCACCATCAACGATGGTGGAAATCGAGGGCAAAGGATCGTCACCACCGTTTCCGTTGGATGGCCGACCGCCATCAAGCGACCTAACCAGGTCGCAGCTCGATCTCGGACGGGTTGCGAGAGTCAAAGCCTTTGCGAGAACCATGGAAGACATGTTGTCCAGAACCCGAAAGGCTCTTCTCAAGGAAACGCTTCAGGTGGGATTTTTCTTGACCACCGCGGCAATAGTTCTCGAAAGTGGGCTGAATAGCTCGGTCACACATTGAAGGAGTACTTTTTCCCAACTGTCCCCCCGACTGCTTCCCTTGCCACAGATCCCCGCACGAGATTCTTCAACATGCTGCAGCTTAAGGGGAAGGAGGTGGCACCCCATCTCCTTGAAATTTTCTTTTTCTGTCCACTAGATCCACCCGTTTTTCCGTCCTCGAATTTTGTACTCTGGATTTGCAGACCGACAGAATATTCAGCGTGGAGGCGACGGCGGTTTCCTTAACAATAACAACAACAACAGCAAACTCTTCTTCGTTCGTTGTGATCCTGTTGGAAACAGTGTACACTTGAAGTTAGAGCCCCGGGCAGAGGCTCTGTGATTGTACAGCATGGGCCAGGCCACTGCGTGGTGGTACTGCTTCGCCACCGTACGTCTGTTTGACTGGGAATCGTAGCGGAACTTTTTGCCTGAAACGTCTGTCAGACAGCTAACGTACTGCCGGAGTCACCAGCCCCGGAACAGTCGACGTAACCGTACCGGCAAATCTCCTGTGCGGGGAGACTTTTCTCAAATGGTGAAAACAAACGCGAAAAACGGCGGTGACGATGACGAACACAGGCGGCGACGGCTACCGAGAACGACTACAATCTCAAGGTCTCCTCGATCATATCCCGCCACTCTGGGAAGATCAGCCATTTGAAGACCGAATCGCGGGCGAAAGGCGACAAGGCCCTCGAGACCGCGCTCAACGAGGCCGAGACCCTTTCCGAGGAAAGGTCTTGGAGATCGAAAACGGCAGCAGCGATCCGACGGCGGGCGCTGGGACCGGTTGTGAGTTGGGTCGGCGCGGCAGTTGATGCCGAGCTCCGGAGATCAGAACGGCGTCGACGAAGGCGGCAGCATCGCCAACATCGAATCAGAGGTACAATTCACAACGTTGTGCCCCATTGAACGCGATCAACAACTTGTAGTGCAAAGGGTACCCTTGTGCTTCTCCCCCGCGCGCCCATGTTGTTGTAGCCGGTGTGGCCTTCGACCCTCCGCTTTCGCGGATTCATGTACATCATGCCAACACAACAGACCTTGGCAGCTTCTTTCGAAGACACTGAGCACTTTGCTTGAAGAGCGACATGGCAGTGTGGCCTCCAACCCCCCGCTTTCCCTGATTCATGTGCGTCATGCCAATACGAAAATCCTTGACAGCTTCTTTGGAAAACTTCGAGCGCAATGCCTCTGAAGAGCAACAGGACTGGCTGCGTCACGTGAGAGGGCGGGGACATGAAGCGACAGAGGTAGCGAGAACAGCGATCTCCGACCACGTCGCGGAACTCATCCTTCATGAGCGGCAGCGCCAACAAGACCAAGAAGGGAGATACGAGGCATTGTCGATGGCGGCTGATACTGCGAAAGATCTGAGCTCGCTGCAAGACTGTTCCAGTAGCGCTGGAGAAGGGACTAGTACCGACGACAAGGACAAGCCCGGCGAGCAGGGCAAAATGGAACAGGGCGAACAATTAATGGCCTTGAACCAAAGTGCACTGGTCATGAACACCGTTGCCGCTGCTGAGGGTGTCAACGGGGATTATGTCGACGACGACCACAGCGGTGGAAATTTTCCACAACCGCAGTTCCAGGGTGCTAAACGTCAGCATGTAGCCAACCAGGATGGCGATGGCGACGTGTTCGTCGAGCCTCCGTCACTCGAAGGTCTCCGAGTCGAAGCGATGGCCGTTCTGGCGGCCGCAGAGGCTTCGTGCATGTGTGATATCGACGCGTGGGTAGAGGAAGCCCGACGTCGGGAGCTGGAGATGATCTCGGCGTGGATGGCGGAAGCCGCGTCCGGTGATATCGAAGAACGGGAAATGACAGAAACTGAGCTCGAAACCTTAGAGTCGGCGTTTCGTGCCGCTAGGAAGGATGCCGACGAAGCCGTCTCTTCAGCTTGTTGTGAGGCGTACTCGTTGCGGCCGTCGGGTGTTTCTGGCGCGGGTGCAGCACCCAGCGGAACGGAAAAGACGGCTGACCCGGAACCGTACGCAACCATTGGTAGCACTGAAACCGCGGCACCTGGATTTTTAGCCGAGGAGGAAGAGGAATGCTCCGCCCTTTGGCCGAGCTTGGAACGGCCGCTGTCTACGCAAAAGCTCGCATTGAAGACGATAGCGGCGGGGTCAGGCGGGTTATGCAGGGACGAGAAAGAGGGAGAAGAAGGGAAGGAGGCCAAGCTGGCCGCCTCCCGCATCATCACCGGCCTCGAGTGCGAACTGAGAGCCGTGGTCACCGATTCTTTCTCGTCGACTGGGAAGGTGGAGGAGGTACGGTCAATGATTCGCGCGAGCAGCGACGAGCTCAGGGTGGCTTTCACCCTCATAAGTGAGGAGACGCAAGCGAAGAGGAAGGTCAGAGACCTGGAGCTGGTGGAACGGGCGAGAACCGAACCTGAGGAAGCCCAGGAAGCGAAAGCACTGGCGTATGGAGAACACAATCAGAGTCCCCCTGCTACGGCGGCGGAAGGGAGGGTGACGGACGCTGAGAGAAAAAACGACGTCGTACCTGCCATCTCGTGGGAAATCGCGAGAGAGGATTGTGGTGCGCCGGACGGCGGCATCGGCACGGAATGACAGGCGGGTCAACGAGGCAGCCGAAGAAGCCAGAACGAAGTCTAGTCAGTCCCAATAGTGCGTTAGCGTTGTGAAGAGAATGTTGAGTTAGGTTCTCTGTTTTGGGTGGAGAGACATGGGCACCAAACGCCTGGTGAAAGTTTCCTTATGACAGTTTGTTCCCTTCTTGCGTATTTTCAGATCGTCCTGTCAGGTGGGGCGTGGTCCTTGGGTTTGCTCACGTGTGTGGGTAAAGAATTGGAAGTATTGTTTTTTTCTGTCTCCTGCGTTGACTACTCTATGTGGTACATATATTTATCGAATACTTTGAAGGAGTCATTGCAGATTCGAAACCATTTCCGAGGCAGGTTGCCCCACAGGTATCAAACGACAAGATTTGGTCGACGGAGATTCTGTCCCAGTGTGAAAGACAGGGTTCTGGAATCCCTCTCGGTGTTTTTGTTCCCAATCGAAGCCGTTGAATCCAACAAGGACTGCAACAAATAACACCACCAACTCTTGCGTCGGTGAGATATGCTCAGAAACATCGTGCGTGTTGGTGAGGGTGTAGCTGTGACGTTCTCGTTGTCATACCCAACGGGGTATGTTTTGCTACTGAGGGCGGTTCGCATGCGAGGGTTCGGCGTACCGGGGGATTACGCAGCCGAGCAAATGTTTGCGGAAGCTGCTTGGTTGTTCGTTGTTTGCGTCCTCGTGAGTACATCAGAGAAATATGCTCCTGTTGCAGCTCAACAAGAATTCCACACTGGTTTTGCGTGACCGCTCGCACGTTCCAACAATGGCTTCAGCTGGTTTCTTAAGACCGGCGCTGCGAATGGCGTTGTTGTGAACGCACTTCTCCATGTATCCTCGGACATCTGCTTCCGAAGTCACTTCATATTCAATCCCCGTTGTTGCATTGATAATTCCTGTGAAATACGCCCCGCTGCCTCATATCTGGGCTCTCGCTATAGAGACGTTGGCATGTCGACAAATATACGAGAACCACGACGACCCTCGGCAAAGCCCCACACGCAAACCCGCATCGTAGATGTCATGGTTCAGCACACAATACGATCGTTCACTCGATGCAACTAAAAGAAACAATATTTATTTCTTGCCCTTCGCCTCAGCTCATTAATGCATTTTCTTAGATTCGCCTGGAATGTGGAGGTCAGGGTATGGAGATTCAAGGAGCACAGATACACGTACATAAAAGAGTAGGATCTGAGGGAATATGTGAAAATAGATTTTACCGTTCCCCGAGGGTCCACGACTCTTTCGATTCCCAACGGCTGGGAAAAGTTGACGAATCTTTATTTTTGGAGGATTGGAAAACGAGTCCACGAAGGCTCGCCAACTCTCCGCACCACCCTAGCTTGACTGAGTTCGCTCGGTCACGCTTGGCATTCCTCGCCACATCGCACCAAAGGAAATAGCCAACCTCCGGTTGCAGGACATAGCCACCACACTCCCAGACTCTCTGCTCACTCACCCAGAGTAGAGGGTTCCATAGGAAGCAAAAAAAAAAAACGCTCGGGCTCGCCCTAGAGACCCCGAGATTACCATTCCTCGCCACATCGCACCAAAGGAAATAGCCAACCTCCGGTGGCAGGACATAGCCACCACACTCCCAGACTCTCTGCTCACTCACCCAGAGTAGAGGGTTCCATAGGAAAGCAAAAAAAAAAAACGCTCGGGCTTGCTCGGGCTCGCCCTAGAGACCCCGAGATTACCGCACTACTACTGAATGTACCCACCCTCCCCATTGCAATCAATCCAGCCCCAACACCACAACAAAAGCAGGCGTTCTGCTACTCATCCCGTCATCCGTTGATGCCGGAGCGATATGTCAAGCAGAGCTACTCCTCCGTGTAATGAATGGTGGCACCGGTTTTTTGTGGTACCGGTTCTTTGCCGCGCGCCGAGGCCGTGGCGCAGTTGCTTGGGCTTCCGCTTCGCCATCCGTCTAAACACGAACTCGAGTGCAATTGCACGCGACACTGCTGCCCTGAGTCCTCCACCGGTCCTGGAAAAATGTTGTTGTTCCTCCTGGTACTATTGTGTTGTAGAGGTTCCACTTTATTTGTTGCACGTGTCACGCGTGTTAAGGAGGACCCGATTCGCAGACTTTCTGTCGATTGACTTTTAACAGAAGAATCGTTACACCTTCGCATGTGGCGTCAGCAGGACAGACACTGGTTCGAATCTCCTTGGCTGACTTGGACATTTTCCCATGGACACAATGTGTGTCAGTCCTGAGAGATCCTTTGGAGTCGATCCTGCAAAGAACCTCGTGACACTTCCATCGAATTACCCGTCCTGGCCACGAGGGGTTTCCAGTTGAGGGTAAATTCTGTGGGTGGAGAGTGTAAGGAGGACCCGATTCGCAGGATATCTGTCGATTGGCTTTTACCAGAATCGGTACACCTTCGCACGCGTGCGTGCCTGCCTCTCTTTCGGGCGATGGTTTTTGAAATGGGTTAGAGTGTTCGTTTTGGCCAGGGTTTGATGTACAACATATAGTCTGTACATCTAGCCGGAATCCGTCGATTCACATCCATCACGTAATCGGTACACCTAGGCAAATTGTCGCGCGTATACGCGACCAACTATCAACAATACTGAAGAGGGAGGAAGAGGCTCGATTTTCACTCCGTCCGTCCGTCCGTCCGGTCCACACCACTTGCAACCTTCTATGTAGACTAGACTATCTATGTATGTATGTATATTCACGCCAAGGTTGGGTGTCCGTCCCGCTGTAAATCTGTTGGTTTTTCAAATAAATGACAGCGAGTCCGACCTCCAACGCGGGGTTCAATTACCACCACCACCTTTGCCACCACGCACGCACCCTGTTTTTGGGAGCATCACAATGAGAAAATACGGACCAGCATGGACCCATGATGAGCACGGACAGGCCGGACGCTTTATTTAGTAGATAGGTGTATGTATGGATACGTACTACTGTAGTGTGTACCAAGCGGGGAACGAACAACCCGATAAGACTACATATTATGTGTACATGTACGTTTATTTTCAATGGGAGGTGCCCGCCAATCAAAAATGGAATAGAGCACACCCCGAAGAACCCGAACAACCAGTAAAAAAACAACTTGACAAATTAATAAAATAGATAATGTTTTGTGTTCGTATTTTAATATTTAGTATCTGTACAGACATCCGGGGCCGACTATCTACCTCCTCGTCGTCCGTAGACAACAAAGAGAACGACAAGAACCAGGCAACCACACACACACGAAGTGCAACAACTTGCGGCGGGCTCAAAAGCGGGCAACATATTATATGAAAAGAAGATGCAACAACACGGCTCAACAACATGTACACTGGTATATGGTAAGCGCCCCGGGTCGGGGCGAATTGGTGTCTCCATGGATGCATGGGTGGTCCCCTCTCTCTGCAGAAGAAACACATTCACATCACCAATCAATAAATCAGTTCTGCTTGCGTAGCCAGACGTTAGGGAACTTATCCAGAGGTCACGGTGCGGTGATGCACTAACCTCTGATGCACTGACCTATTACAAACCGGTGAGTATAAACCCGTGGTTAGGATTGGGCTAGAGACGGGGTAGAAAACACCGATCCGATGTGTGTCTTGCTTCACAAATCAACCATGGCTAGCTTTCGGCAGGAAGAATAGTTCGCAGAAATAGCCCGCGTGCACGATTGTTCATCGAATGTCTTTGTAATAGAGCAAGTCGTTGTGTGCAGACCGCGGCCCCATTCCGATATGGATTCTTTTGGCGCTTCCCTCCCCCACTCCCGATATGGATTATTTTGTACTGCAGTTTAGAGTCGGAAAAAAACGGGGGAACATTCACGAATAGAGACGGCAGACATGGTGCCCCTTAAGCTCTTGCGTCACCACCTCAGATCCATTTGCCCGCCCCGCACACCCTCACACCCACTCTCTTCTACCACTCTCTTTCGCCAGCTCACAAGCCAAACCCCAGCAACCCCAGCAGCCCGCGCAGCCTCTCTTCTTTGCTCTTCTCTGGTTTACAGTAGGAGAAACGATAAAGAAGATGGCTCTCACTGCTTTCGCTGCTCTGGCCTTCGGCATGCTCAGCGCCGCCAACGCGTTGGAGGTGGTCTCGCCTGGTGGGGGGATCTCGGTGATCGCTGACAGGTAAGGTAGATGTAGGAGAACCACAAGTAAGTACTGGACAGCTAACGAACGAGAGAGCACGCGAGAGAGACACACGTAGCTACAGTAGGGAAAGAAGAGCAGACGTCGCGTTCGTTCGTCTTGCATTCAGTTGCTGCGGTCTCCGTGACTGCAATGCGTCGGTTGTATGGAACAGCCGCTCCCGATCTATCTGCAGATCGTTGAGAAGATGAATTTGAGAAGATTGCTTTTGTTCGATGCACCGCGACCGATCGATATCGGCATGAGATGCCTGCCAAAAATTAGGGGCACGCCGGGCTATTTCGTGTTGTTGTTACCGTATAGACCAGACGACCCCTGTTGCGTCGCCGGCGACAAAACAAGATATGCGGACATAGCAATGAATCAACTCCTGCTGGCAGTCCGCTCTCTGTATTTGTTCATGAGAAGCTCGGAGTACAAAACAAACCCGTTGAGAACAGGCTCAATTGTGATTTTTTCCGAAAAACAGCAGTACCAAGTAGTTAATACGCATATAACTTCCAAGGGCTTCGGAGGAGGGCCCCCACCTCCGGGAACGTGGGAGTATGTGATTCATGTAGAGAGCGACTGGTAGAACTGCGCATTTACCAAGGGGCACCTGTCATGACTCTCATACATATAGGGGAGAACACGAGGTGCTCCTGTATTTATTTCGTGTTGTAGAAGCAATGGCGTCAAAGACACCTTGCCTTTTCCTCTCAGATCCAACTCAGATCGAAGAATTATTTCCGTTCCTCGTGCGCACCACTCGCTAGCATTCACTTCTCATTTGGGGTCAGGACTATACATTCATTTGACGGCCAGCCGTATCCTCCTCTGCTCACAGCAGGCGGGAAGTCGCTTGGACTCACTCCAACCTTCCTGTCTGCTGTACCTGTCCAAAAGCATGCAGTCTTATCGGTCTCTGTCAAGTGCCCCAGCTGGTGCTGCACTCTCTTGCACCTCGCACAATTTCTTGTGATCAGTTCGTTCATGCCAGCTATCTATGCGCGCAGCAGATGCACAGCAGCAGTAAAGTCGCTCGGTGAGATGGTCGGTCGACACCCAACCATGTATTAGAGCATGCAGTAGTTATCTACGTACTATAGTAAGGATCTAGCTCTGCACGTGCTGTCAATCTGTCTGTTTGTCAGCGGCGAAGAAAGCAGTAGCTAATGATCTCCGCGCGAGCTCTTTTCGTGACCGTAAATCGTACTGGACGTAAGCAATTCTCGTGCGCGACATCACACCCACCACCAGTCATCATGACGAATGACGATCCGCGCGCAATCGTTTCGCTAGGTTCCGTCACTTTCTCTTTCGTACCTCGTGGTATCATACAACTATTGCCCACTGCTGTTAATTGGCATTGACCCACCCGTACAATATGGTGCATACACAGTCCACAGTAATCTGCGCGTGTCAACGCGTTGGAAACAACAATCGCTCGGCCGGTTAAACATTAAGTTATAATCCGTGCGTATGTAACTATGTCCTTAGTAACCCCCGCGTGCCAGGTTGTTTGTAGTAGTTATTATATACCAGTTATCAAGGGTTTACTATTTGAAAAAAATCCCTCCGCATGATGAGCCACCCCCCGGGAGGGCCACTTCGACTAATGTTTTCTATATGAAATAGTGTCGGTAGTTTCGCTCACGAAAATAAGTCATTGATCCCCGTACTGCAGAGGGGTTCTATCCACAGTGCCCCTTACTTTCGCAATTATATGGAGAGCGTCCGCCCAAAAATCACCCCCCCCCCCCTCCCGTGATCATGTTGTGCGGGGTCGAGAACCTCACTCCGCGCAAGGGGGATGATCGCACCACGTTGTGTTAAATGGTAAAGCATCCTCGAGGCAGCTACACAAGTTGGGTTTCGTCGCTTGGCAATGACGTTGTAAAACAAGCCGTCCCCCCCGGTGTTTGCCATCGGGGTTGGGTTTTCGTCGATTGGCGGCGATGTTGTAAACCAGGTCGATCACTTTGTAAGCTCGGCAACCAGGTTACCGCTTCTATTTATTTTTCCATTTTTTTTTGCGGTAGCCATGAATGGTGGTCGAGTAGATTATGTTGTGCGGGGTCGAGAACCCTCACATCACGCAAAGGGAATAATCGCACCACGTTGTGTGAATTTGGTCAAGCACTCTCGAGGCAGTTACATAGAGCTTGCAACTGTCTCTGGAAGTGAATGCACCAGAAAATATATCAAGTTCTACGCAGCTATCGAGAAAGGATCCAGCGTACCTTTCATGCAACTCGCCGAATACCTCACAGCGCTTGGCGCTTGGTGATGTGAGAGCCCGGTCCGGTAAGAACCCGGCGTACTCCGTCCCTGCTTTGTAGGGGTGCGAGGTCAATGGTCTAACGACTGCGGCTTGCACGACTATGAGTACACCACCCCCCCTCCTCGGTGTTTGCCATCGGGGTTGGGTTTTCGTCGCTTCGCAACGATGTTGTAAAACAACCCGACCACTTCGTGAGCTCGGCAACCACAGGTTACCATTTTTTTTTGCGGTAACCATGAATGGTGGTCGAGTAGATCATGTTGTGCGGGGTCGAGAACCCTCACTCCGCGGAAAGGAGGTAATCACACCACGTTGTGTGAAATTGGTCAAGCACCCTCGAGGCAGCTACATTGCGCTTAAAACTGTCTCTGGAAGTGAAAGCACCAGGAAATAAATTAAGTCATACGCAGCTGTCATCCGTACGCAAGGAAGTAAACACAAGATGCCAAACACCCGTAACAGGATGCGGCGCACCCTTCATGCGACTGGCCGAATACCCCACGGTGCTTCGCGCTTGGTGATGTGAGAGCCTGGTCTGGTGAGACCCCGGCGTGCTCCGTCCCGGCTTTGTAGGGATGCGAGGCCAATGGTCAAACGGCTGCGGCATGCACGACTATGAGAACACCTCCCTGCACGGACCCCGATTTTTTATTACATAGTGTTGTAGGCCTTGTGTCTTAAATGTCTTGACTCGTAGACCCTTGCAGGTATCCATAAATATAGTTGTATTGATTTTATTCATTCATTTATGAATTTTCTGGAAGACAAGTCCAATTTCCTCAGTTGACCCCATCCATCCGTAAATAATTATGTCCGATAACAAAGCGCTATCACTCATGACCCTGTGGTGTTCTCTCTTTCGCAGCCCATGTTCGAGTGATTTGTTCTTTCTCACGAACACACACGCGCAATGAATCCTTCGTATAGTAATTTGGAGCATACAATATAATTCGCTATTATTCTTTGGCGCCTTGACTGTTTTTTCGGAGGCGTGTCGTTGACGTTGCGAAGAAGAAAATGAGGCCGGGTGTCCGCGTGACGAAATGCCAGAGTTGAAACCTTGGTCCAAAGAGGCCTCCGAGTTCCTCCGCTTGCACGTGAGCGCAAGACAATAATTACCGTAAAGAAACTTGGCATGCTCATTTATCATCGTCAACTTGGCATGCTACCCCTACTAATGCCGGCTGGAAATTTTCAGATTCAGAAAAAAATTTGCAGGAATCTTGTGGGAATAACAGTACCGGTAGTAGTTCCAGAGACAGACGTATCATGATGCATGCCCCACTCTTTTTTTCTCCTGGACATCGCCCCGGAATGAACAGGATTCGCCGAACGGTATAGGAATGATGCAGGCATCATTGAATTCGCCTTCTGATTCACGCCCCCTCCATCCGTTCTCGACGTCATTTTTTCTCAAACCAGATCCTACTTGCCTACGTCGTGCCACGAAAGGTATGGACGAACGTATGTATGCATGCAGCATGGTCCGTGATGATGCGTTTCATTGTTATCATCCACCGTTTTTCCCTTCGCCTCTCGGTGTGTCTAATGCCAGGGTATACACCGTTGAGTGGACCGGAACCACCACCGGACGCTTCGAGATCGATCTCTACTACTGCAACTCCTTCTGTATGGAGGTAAGAGTACATTTCGCGTTTTTCTCGAAAGTGTGTTTTTCTTCATGAAGTGTTGCTGAAACGTATTTCGGGAGTGTGTGGCGGTTGTAAAACCGCACCTCCAAAGCGAGGTTCCACGCAAATCTCGGCACTTGCGCGCCTCGATCGTTCACGGTTTGATATCATGGCGGATACGTCCACTCTTCGAATGGTCTGCCCGCCAGGATTTTGAAACAAGATGCCCTCGTTCTCTCTTATGAGTGTTTCGCAACAATTTTTTTTTTTTTTTTTCCGAAACACCGTGTCAACCCCTTCTCGGACCCATTTCATTCCGTGTCACCGACGCCCTCATGAGCACAACATCCCCCCTCCACCAACGGCCGCACTTCTTCTGTGCTTCCAGGACGTGTGCGGTGACTGGGTTACTGCCCTTTGCCCGTACGGTGCGGATGGTTGCCCCGACAGTGCAGGTGACTACGACATCATCATGCCCGAGCCTATGAGTGGTACCTCAAGCGGCTACAAGGTGTGTAAATGTGTGTGTGCTACGGTAGGTGGAACGGACGAAGACCAGTAGATTTAGAACGATTTCGATTGCACTGCATGACACACGAGCTGAAACCCGTACTTAATCAGAGCGCATCCACCATCTAGCCACAATAGCACGAGAAGTTTGTTCAAGATCTCGATTGCACAACTTTCCCAGAGCTGTGTATGCTTTGTCCACAAGGACCCCATGTGTCACAGATATAAAATTAGGCATGCTTTGTATACCGTCCTACTCGAAGCAGGATGTCCCAGTGTGATGGGATAACGTGCTGGTCTCCCTCGCCGTAATCTCTAGGTCATGGTGAAGAATGCCGAGGACGAGTCCGACATGGGCTGCTCCGACGACTTCACCCTGATCGCCTCTGAGGATGCACCCGAGGCCGGCGAGTTGGGATACAGTCTCACCGTCACTTCTCCCTCGGACGGCGACACCGCGATAGCCGGCGAAGTGTACACCGTTGAGGTGAGGAAGTTGTGCATCGTTTCAGACAACATACATGGCGTCACGGAAGAGACCACCCGGTCGTAACCATTTCTTAAGAGGATATACACTATGTGGAAAGGCCATGCTAAAGTACGAATGTGAGCTTTATTGCGTTTATTGTTGCTGTTCTTGCTGTCGGACGTTGTCCCTTACCGGGGTGACGAACAACTGATACACATTTTCTTTCTCGTTCTCTAGTGATATTGCGGATTATTGCCTAGGTTTTTCGTTAGAGACAAAAAACACCACAACGCTGCTCACTCTCGTTCTTTGCTTTGCCCAATGCACTACGCTTCCACTCTGCCCTGCCGGCGTGTCTTGTCGCCACAAACGTAACAGTGGGACTACGACAACGGTTTCGGCTCCTCCACGGACCGTTTCGCGCTCGACCTTTATTTGGTTGGCGGCACTGGCGACTGCGGAACCTACGTGACTACCCTCTGCGACAAGCCCAGCATCGGCTGCCCCGACTCGCGTACGTTCACTTACTATTGTCCTAACGGTTTGTCAGCAGTTATGATATCTGCTGCGTTGCAGTCTTTTAGAAACAGCAACCTGTGCGTTGGAGGTTGTTGTTATTCTGTCATATACCAAAAGAGGTGAACGATTTGGTCAGGAAACGAAACCTGTGGAACCGTCGCCACCGTTGTATGTCTATCTGACTGTCTGGCTGCCTATCTGTCTGTCTCTCTTTCTCTCTTTCTCTCTCTCCTTTCGCCATGTGTGTGAGTCTCCCTCACCCTCTCAGCCACTGTGCCATTTCATGGAGACGCCCGCACTTCACGTTTGTTCTTGCTCGAAAATAACGGACCCATCGACCCCTCGGCGCCGTGTTGCTTTTCACGATTGTTTTTCGCTGGGCCCTCAGAGGGTGACTACGACGTGGAGATCCCGTCTGACACCCCTGCCGGTATGTACTCGATCCGAGTCGGCGTCTTCGACGACGAAACGATTTACGACTGCTCCGACACTTTCGGAGTCGAGACCAGCGACGACACGAACATGTCGATGCGCCTCTAGGCGTTACCCGCTAGGTATTCTTCGAAGTTAGCGGGAAAAGATTACTTGTGTTTTCGTCTGTATTTGGTGAAAAGAGTTGAGGTTGTTGGGTGAGCAAGTTTCATTCTTGTGTATCTTGCGCAGAATCGATTGTTTTGGGGGTCGTCAGGTTGACTGATCGATCGGGTTCGGGACAGAGTGGATCGTGCAGTGTCGAAGACCTAACGGACACTCGATCTTGCGTGCAAACGCGAGACACGAATGGATGAGAGGGGTCAGGCCGGGTTAGGGGAAAATCCAGACGAAAACAAATGGGTTATTTTATTGTATATGTCTATTTCGAACCGTCTAGCGTTGCTTTTGGCTTCCCTCGTTGGTTCATTATGTCCACGTAGTTTCTTCTGGCGCTGATGCCCCTTCCCACAGCCTCCCGTCCTTTGATTCTCTTGCATGTTTTCTTGGTTTGTGTTGCGGACGTGTCGATGCTAAGGAAAGATTTCATCTAGACCTGGGGCACAAGCGTGTGGTGACGGCAAGGGGACGGGGGCCGATCCATGTGCACCGAATCGTTGTCTTCGCCTGGTTTTGTCTTTTGGGACGAGAACGAAGAGTTGTGCTGAAGAGAAACGATTTTGACATATATTGAAAGATTTTCAGAAAGGATCGCCTTCATTTGCTTGGCGAGAGAAATTCGGGTTCGCCCTCTCCTTCTCCACTGCCGTTGCATAATCTGTACTACTACTGTGAGACGGGGTCAAGAGGTTTTGGAAGGGAGGGGGGGTCATGCCGTCGTCGTTTTGATCTTGCATCCCTGCAAAGCCGGGCCGGAGCACGCCAGGTTCTCACCGGTCCAGGCTCTCACATCACCAAGCGCGAAGCGCCGTGAGGTATTCTAGGGAGGGATGGAATATTGCATACAAGGGGTGTGGCCGGCAGCGCCGGGGAGATAGCCAAGCTTGTGGTAGCTGTTTCGGAGAGATCTCCCGCGTTGGCATTTTCGCCAGCGCCCGTGCCCTCCTTGCCAGTCTCTCTACTTGTATTCTTGTGTACACACGTCGCGGAACTCATCCTTCATCGGCGGCAGCGCCAAGCAGACTAAGGAGGGAAGGAGGAGGTGTTGTTAATGGCGGTCAGTACAGCGAGAGATCGTGGTGGGCGGGGCTGGTACCGACGACATGCCCGGCGAGCAGCGGAAGACGGAAGAGAAAGAGCAATCGACGTCATTGGCCTAAACTTCATCGGGGGTGACTACCGTTGACGCTGCTGGGGGCGTCGCCGGGGATCATGTCGACGACGACCGCAGTGTTGGAAAGTATTCCACACCTACGAGCAGTTCCAGGTTGCTAACCATCAGCGAGCAGACAACTAGGATGGCGATGGTGATTGTTCGTCGAGCCTCTGTCACGCGGAGGTTCTCCAGGTCGAAGCGATGGGCGTTCTGGTGGCCAAACGGCTTCGTGCCTACGTATCGACATGTGGGTGGGGGATGCCCGACGTCGCGAGCTGGAGATGACCACGGCCGGGATGGCGGAAGCCGCGTTCGGCGACCTCAACGAACAGGAAATTACCGAACCGTAGCTCGAAACCTTAATGATTCGGTGTTTCGTGCCACGAGGAAATGCCGACACCTGGAGTTTTCGAGCAAGAGGAATGTTCCGACGTTTGGTCGAGACGACCTCTGCGTTCGCTGAATCTCGCGCTGAAGACGACACCGGGGGTGTCAGGCAGGATATGCAGGGACGAGAAAGAGCGAGGAGAAGAGAAGGAAACCAAGCTGGCCTCCTCCCGCATCATCACCGGCGTTGAATGCGAACTGAGAGCCGTGGACACCGATTCTTTCCCGTCGACTGGGTAGGTGGCGGAGGCACGGTCGATGAGTAGAGTGGGGAGCGACGAGCTCAGAGTGGCTTTCATCGTCACGGGGGAGGAGACGTAAGCGCAAAGGAAGGCCAAGGGCTTCGAGACCGCGGAATAGGCGAGCTGACTTGAGTCGAGGAAGCAAAGAAGGCACCACGGGCAAATGGGGAATACTATCAGAGTCTGCCCGCTGCGGCGGCGAAGGGGGTGGCCGTATGGGGAGTGACGGCCGGTGAGAGAAGGAACGACGTTGTACCGGCCAGCAAGCGGGAAAACATGAGAAAAGGAATGTCGTGCGCTTGATGGCGGCATCGGCACGGAATGACAGGCGGGCCAACAAGACAGCAAAGAAGTCGAGACGAAATCATTGCAGTTGAATTAGGAGACAAAGAGTGCGAAAATGGATATGTTGTTGGGTTCTCTGCTTCGGGGGAGGAATATCGGCACCGGCGCGTGGTGGAAGTTTCGTTATGACTGTTTTTTTTCTCTTCGTCGTTTTCTGCTGGTCCGTCAGGTGGGACATGGTTGAGTTTGCTCAGTTTTGGGGGTGAAGAGTTCGAAGTTTCGCCCTTTGTCCTGTCCCCTATTTGATACAAAAGGACAGACTTTCACAACCTACTTTCACGTTTCAAAACCTTCAAATCAGCATCCTCTGTAGTAGAACCACTTCGACATTTTTGCGTCAGAGAGGTATGCTCGGAAAACTTCGAGGGTGTTGTTGATGAGGTTGTATGTTGTGACGTTCTCGCCGTCATACCCACGGTGTTGTGTGTAGTTGCTGGGTGCGATTCGTATGCAAGGGTTTGGTGTACGGAGGGGTTTTGAAGCCGAACAAGCGTTTTCGAACAGGCTCCTGTTGCAGCTCTACAAGAACTCTAAGGTGATCGCGTGCGTATCTGCCTCTACGTTTCAAACAAATTTCCTTTCAAGACCGGCGGCGCTGCGAACGGCATGTTTTGCGAAGTCCTTCGTGTCTTCGTGCCTGCTTCCGGGCCCACTTCATAACCCCGCTGTT